GCGGTTCAAACCCACCAGCCACTCCTCCGAAGGAGGACTGGGCAATCTACTTCCATAGAGACACTGCCTCAGAAACTCAAGGATGGGGTGCTATGAGTTGGATCTGACTCGATAGCAGTGAGTTTAGTTTGTGTGTGTGTGTGTGTGTGTGTGTGTCAAGAACTACAAACCAAACCAACAGCATGCAACCTTCAAGTAACCTATGAACAACCCTTTAAAAGAAAACATTCAAAATCAAACACATTTTCAGTGGTGCTAAGAAATGACCAATGAATGAATGGTCAGATGGTCAGGGAAATCTGCATACTCACGAACACAGCGCCCCATAGTGGATAGCCTGTGTAGAAGATAAAGAAAAACATGTGTCTGAAGAGGTGGGCCAGGTGTTGTAATGAACCCAGATAAACACCCAGGGCCAGAATCATCGCTCCATTCAGGATCTGGATGGCCTGCAAGGACAAGAAGGAAAAGAAAGGTTTAATGGTCATATACCAGTGAGCAGTGGGAAAAGTCCATTTTAATTGTCTTCAGACAGGAACACCATTGTTGAAATGGTTAAGAAGTCAAACCCAAATCAATTGGGCAAGAGACTCCCCAAGGAGGTTTTTGCCCCATACTGTTCCCCCCAATTTAAACAGCCACCTTCATGTTCAGCTCTGCACCAACCTCTGTTCACTCTCACAAACTCCCCTCAGAAAGCAGCACAAGAGTGCAAGGCATGTGGCTGCTTAGACAGGTTGAGTCAAAGTGTCATCCCAGCATGCTTTGGGGCCAATGATATGACAGAGGGCAAACAGCATTCCAGTTAGCCTTCTTCCTCGACCCAATCTTGCCTAAGGCACTTGACTGCTAACCAGAAGGCTGGCGGTTCAAACCCACCAGCCACTCCTCGGAAGGAAGGTGGGGCAATCTACTTCCTACTTCCGTACTGATACTGCCTAGGAAACCCAAGGAGCGGTTGCTATGAGTCGGGTCCAACTCGATGGCACATAACAACAACATATGAGTTTTAGAGAGCACCTCCTTCTGATGTTAGATGGCCAATGGCACAGAGAAAAGAATGAAGGACCAAGGAGTAT